AGTTCCCCTCAGGGTTTTACCATCTCTTGGTTTACTCATTCAAAATTTCAGCTGATATGAATCACAGGTTCCCAATTTACTGGGCCTACTGCTCCCTTAAAAGAAAGAAATTACTCAGCACCCTCCTGGCAACGAGAAGCATCCGCCATTCAGCCCCAGTCCAACGTAAAGTGTAGGCACCTTCTGTTGCAGCCCTCAGTGCTGGAGAAACACTGGGATCGGCGTTACCAAACAGCAGCTAAGTGAATTAGGTCACCATCTTTATTTTTTTAATTGAATAGGGTAAAATACTTAATGTTAATCCTTAAATTGTATTTAGATGTAATACTTGATAGTAAGTGCTTATACCTCAGTAATATATCTATATTATATATAACTGGTTTGTGGGCATTTGGGGGATATATATACACAAACATACATACAGACATGTGTTGAGTTGTCATTTAAGAAATGTTTAAACAAACAAACATAATTGTATAATCTATAGTATCAAGGAAAAAATGTAATGTAAAAAAGTATTTTGAGTATATATTTGGTAGCGCAGTTTTAATTGTATCCTATTTCCTAGTCACAAATTGCCATATGCCTAGATACACCAGCTTTCTCATAAATTTTGGCATGAGAATAAAGAAAACCATCTCGGAATACGCGCATTACTGATAATGTGACAGCAAGTATTTTTATATCCTAAATACAATGAGGAACAAGTCATAACTAGCACAATATACCTTCATTGTAAAGCTTGAAAACATTAAAAAGTAAAAAAAAAAAGTAGTGCAAGGTACTCCCTACCCTGCCATTCCTAAGTGTCCACTGGTTACACTGGGCTTTTCTTGTGTTTTCTACCTGCCTCTTTTGTGATCGAGTATGATTGCTCAGTTGTAATGACAAGCACATTTCTCATCTCCCCTCAGTTGTTTTCTGACTCTTAAGACTCAGTATTCAGAAATTCCCTTAAACATTGTATGCATAGAATAGCAATGACAATTGCAACTTTCCAGGTGAAAGTATATTTTTAGTAAGTGTTTTTAATGAATAATAGGATGATTTTTCTTAATAAAGCAAACTAGGAAAGTAAATCGCAGGAAAGCAGGACATGGTGCCCGCCCTCTGGTGCTAAGAATTGAATTGTCTTAACCCAAACCTTACTTTGGTGGGTGGAAGTGGTGGGACGGGTTTGAACTCTCAAATCTATTTGCAGTTGAGGCCAAGGCACCTGTTGCCGAGAATCACACAATATTAAGTCATGCTGTGGAGGAACAAGCACCTACATATCTGGGTTCAACTCTGAAGCCAGAAAGTAAGGTTAGTAATGTCTGATATGCTACAATTTTGAAAGAGCTGTTTGGCTGTATATTCTAATGTTAACCAATGTCTTCATTCTCTGAGATCTGCACTCACTGAAGTGGATCAATGATGAAAATAGCCAAATCTGAGCACCAGAGGACCATCCGGTCTATCTGATGCATGATCTTCATCATTCTGGGAAGCAATTGTACAAAATTGTGTGTGTGCGCGCGCGCGCGCGCGTGTGTGTGTGTGTGTGTGTGTGTAATGGCATAAATGGTGTGTGTGTGTGTGTGTGTGTGTGTGTGTGATTGATGGCATAAATGGTGCGTGAGTGTATAAGGCTAATCCGTCTGAGCAATGATGAGAAAGTTTACTACTGACCTAGATAACCCTGAAGGTTTTCGACACTTGACCTGAGCTCAGAATTGATGTTGATGATTTATAGTTCTCACAACTCAATTTTAAATGTCTTTTTTTCTTGCTAGTACATTCTGTATTGTAGTCTAATCTTCTCCTTTGATTTTTAGACTGAGACACACGAGATGTCTCATGAGCCATTATCTTCAATCACCATTTCTACTGGGAGCTTTTTAAGTTATGAAAACACAGATTTCAGCCTTACTGATCCAGGTAAGAACATTTAGGAGTTTAAATAAATTGATATACCACTAACAGTTGAGTTACTGTAGTGATGGAAGCTCTACTTCTTTAAATCTCAAAAGTAAAGTGTTCACTGCACACGCCATTTAATATGTTCTAACTATTGAATTGTATGATACATGAATTATATTTCAGGGAAACTGTTAAAAATTAGAACACTAAACTTGTGGCCACACACACACACCCCAAAGTAAAAGTATCCATCCACGCTAGAAGAGTGAGCAAGTTGATCGTCTAAACATGACTGGCAGTCAAAGGCCTGCACACCTACAGAAGTTCTCTGTGGATCCTTAATACAACTTTGTGAAGTATTCACTGATCCCGTAGCATATTGTCAGGTCTCTCAAGCAAAATATGTCTCTAAGGAATTACCCAGCCCTGGCAGTGAAATTCTTTGATTCAATTCAATTTCCAGAGTCTTCTACAGAGCAGGTGGACCACAGACAACAAGTATCTACCACCGGAAAGGAAGAGGAGACAAGTTTTACAAGTTCTGTTACTCCTTCCGTACAAACTTTTTATCGGAGGCAGGAATCTTTTGACATCCACAAACCTCCCTTGTCTGTGCTAGAAACATTAACATCTGGCCAAACAAATGTGCTGCAGATCATAGACAAGTACATAAATGAAGCCAGTGTAGTGCCTGGAAAAACTGACAGTAAGGGTAAGTAACTAAGGGTTTGCAACTTTGAACATTTCATCCTATTTAAATAGTGGTTTTCTAAACTTACTGCTTTTATAAGCTGCTGCGGTGCAGTTATAACAAGCATTGAGAGGATTTAATGAGAAAAGGAATCTGGAGTTAACTAGACTGACTCGAGAACATTTAAACGAGATTAATTAGCAAGTCTTCCTTTACCGTCTAGCTTCCCCTAAACTTGGTGGATCAGTGGAATCACCTCTGATGCCCCTCCTCCAAGGGATACCGATTCATTAGGTTGCAAACAGAGCCCAGGGATCTGTAGTTTCACCAGATCCCTAGGTGATACCAGCCATCAGCAAAGTGTGGGGACCTAGGCTCTTCTCTACCTATTGCAAAGCTGCTAGCTATTAACAATGGAGGCCGTACTGCCCGTGTGAGCTTGGGCTCTGATGTGTGTTTACTGGCCTTGAAGCAATGGGCAACTCTGTGAAAGAGTGCTGTTGGAGATAAACTGAGATCATTGAAGATGTTGGAGGTTCATAGAAATGGAAATTTATATTTGTCAAACGTTTTGGTCACTTAGAGTATCTAATTTTAAAAAATAATTTGGAAATGATCATGATAGGACTTCATTTAAAGTCATGAACAAAATTAGAATTTAAATTGACATTGCCTCCAAAAGCTTTTATGAATACATTCTTAATACAAATTTCAACTCACTCTCTCTCATTCACTGACTCACTCACTCTCTCACTCACTCACTCTCTCTCATTCACTCTCTCACTCCTGCCATTCCTAAGTGTCCACTGGTTACACTGGGCTTTTCTTGTGTTTTCTACCTGCCTCTTTTGTGATCGAGTATGATTGCTCAGTTGTAATGACAAGCACATTTCTCATCTCCCCTCAGTTGTTTTCTGACTCTTAAGACTCAGTATTCAGA